GACCGAGGTATATGCTCCAAAATGGCAAGCTCAGACTAATGGCACAGAAGTCCGACAAACGTTGCTTCTATTTTAGTTTTATTGCTTCCATTGTAGAAGGTTGGGTATAGGTTTCGTCAAAGGGTAGCAATGTCCTTGAGGAGATGCTATGCAGTTGATGTGAGAGAAGTTAAAAATTAGGTCTATCACTGTAGGAGATATTGGCGGACGCAAACATGATAAGTTCTATGTTTCGTTAGACTTCCGCACGCGTAAGAGCTTGCGGAGAAATTTCCAAACTTTTCCATACGCAACGCAACGTCCGTCAGCGATGGCCAACCTCTCCATTTTTATTTTGTGATGACAATGAAACCAGCATTCGAAGGTCTTCAAAATGCCGGCGTCCTAATAGCCCCTGACGAAATCTTTTTCAGTCAGGAATATGGTGACGATATCGTTGTTAATTTCAAAGTGAATATGCAGGTGTATGAATGAAACAAGGTCATTTTGTGCTTTGGTGTGCGCCTTGCGCCCACAAAGTACTAGGCCATGCAGTCACTGAAAACGCAACTCTACATTACAGGGAGTGCCACACGAAACTGTGCATATCAGTCTACGCTGCAGGCCGTTTTGTTGCATGGTTGTGAGACTTGACCTGTTCGAGCACCGGAACTAAGACAATTTCAGGTGTTTGGCAACCGCTGTTCCGGAGCCATAGCTCATGGAGGTCAGTGTGGGGAAAACCGTGGGGCAATCAGAAGATGTGTTGGTTGCGCAAAGGCTGATATCTAGGGATACGCCCAGAATAAGCAGTTGTGTTTTCAAGGTAATGTTTTGCGTATGACTAAGCATAGTTTCTGGAAGGGTGCCGTTTTCCGTGCCCACCCCAGGGTGGCAAAAGCCGAGCGGTGGAAAATTATCGATCCGATAGAGTGGANGAGCCGATAGAGTGGATGGAGTGGATTCCGAAATCATTGGGTGCTGTTCGTGCTCTCGTCTTCCAGGATGAGGACCGCGAGATGCCCAGCAAGTCTGGCCTGGGATGCTGCAAGTTATGGCTGCTAATCGATGTCAGTGGCGTTCTCGTTGTTCGTTCCCGTCAAAAATGCCTGAATTAGTGTCCAAAGGAAAATGTGGTTGATGCCAAAAACAATTTGTTAGTCATGGAATAGAGCCTCAAAATAGCCTGAACTAGCGAGCAGCTTCCAACATTGGTGGAAGCTCTTCTATATATAATGGTATACTCGAGATCATGAAAGCGTCGGCATACAAACGTTGGCACGTTAACTGACCGGTTTTCCGTACGTTAACTGACCTGTTTTCCGTATTGGGGGCCACAGTTTTTAAACACGCTGTTGCGACTGAGTATGCGATGGTTGCATGTTTTGGTGAGGAAAGCGGAGTCTTCGAATTTATCAAGGTATGTGGTATTGGTATCGGGAAGCCGAAGTGAAGCTAGGATTTGGTGCTCTAAATGAGCAGATTTTGCACTAAGGATTCGCTAACTCACCAGATGTCCACCAAGGCTGTACCCCTGGGTGCATGTTTGTGTGGCCCTTGGATCCCAGGGCCCAGATCTACACTACCTGCTTCTACGACTGACTGGTATATGCCCCTCCGTATCTTTAATTCACTGCATCCAATGATGTTTATTGCTGCCGGAAGCCGCTATGAATTCATCGGCTCCCTTATAATCGCCATAGGTCTAATTGACCAAGTATTTCTCTATAGAAGTGAAACTCAGCTTTGGCGTGGACACTGATCTAGAACTGTAGACAGCGGGCTTTATTTAGCGCTTAGTGAGTTAGCTCCTAAAACTTTGTTTAGTTGTGTATTCAATGATATGGTAC